AGAAACATGCGCAGGAGGAGGAGGAGGAGGAGCAGGAGCAGAAAAAGAAACAGGAGCCGGAGGAGTGGCCGGACAACGTCGGAGGATTGGGAGGATGAAGAGCAGAGGGGAAGGAAGAGGGGGAGCAGGAAAAGGAGGACCACGACGAGGGCAGAGACGAGGACAGAGAGGAGGAGGAGGAGGCAGAGGAATTGCAGGTCATGGAGCTCGCAGTGACCGGCCATGTCGACGGCAGCGCGTGGCTGATCGACCTCGCTGCTGGCCGCATCGCCGGCGGGCTCGAGTGCCACCCTGGAGCGCCCCCCGGACAGAGCAGGTTTCGGAGAGCGGTCAGAGGGAAGCACATGCGATGATGTGTACCAGGCATTGAATGTATGCACGCATTGAACTCACGTGTATATGAACGGAAGAGAGAGAGAGAGAGAGAGAGACAGATAACCATTTTGGCTCAAGCTCCAATCCCCTTCAGGGGTTTGGAGCTTGAGGTAGCCGTGGGCTCGAGGGGCTGGCCGGGCGGCTGGCCCCAGCGGCCCTGTGTGCGCGGCCGGCGCATGGATGGCGGCGCGCAGCTGCCGCCGGGCTGGGTCTGGGCCTGGAGCGCCGTCCCGCTCCACGCAGCAGGCAGGGGCCCGCCCCCCGCTGCTGGCTGGGCCCCCGGCTGCTGGCAGGGGCTTCGTGGAGCAGGCGACGCCCCCTTGGCGGCTGCGGTCGCCGCCGGCGAGGCCCCGGCGCCCACCGGACCCGGCGGGCGGGCCGACGGAGGCGCGGCCGAGGGCGCGCGGGCGGCCCCCGGCGCCGGAGCGCGGCCCGCCACTGGAGCGCTCCTCGGCGGCGTTGGGGGGGCGGTCCTGGCGCAGCTCATCGCCGGGAGCACCCCGGCCGGCGGCACCGAGCCAGCGAACCGCCGCGCAGAGCCCTGCCCCTCCGAAGGCCAGGCCGGCGCCCGGGCCGACGGGCCGGCCGTCGGCTGCCGCGGGGCGGCCAGCTGCGGACCCAACGCCGGCAGGGGCGAGGTTTCCGACGACCTCCCCGAGGAGACCGAAGCCGCGGCTGAGGCAGCGACCGCTGGGCCGCCGAGTTCAGGCTTCCCGAGCTCCAGCCGGGCCGCCCGCAAGCGGCCGGCAGCCGCCCTCGGCGGAGTGCCCCGCCGCCGCTGACCCGCTCGACAGCCGGCATCACGCGCCGGCTGCTGCGGGAGTTCCGAACCGCCCTCGCGGGGGCGTCGCGTCGGAAGCGAGCGTTCTTCCTGGAGCACTTCGTAGGATCGCGCGGCGTGGGCAAGAAACTCCGGGAAGCTGCGTACGCCGTCGTGTCCTTGAACGTCAAGATGGGCGTGCACGGCAACCTGTTGCTCAGAGTGGTGCAGAGGCTGCTCAGGGGCTGGATCCTCGCAGGCGCAATGCTGGGGGTCCGGCTGGGTACGCCGCGCACGACCTGGTCGCGAGCGCTGAGACAGCCGCTCCGATCGGCCAGCTAGCCCATGGGCCTTCCTTGACAGATGCGCAGCAGGCGCGACTAGACATTGGCAGTGCTACCTTTCACGTCTCTCGCAAGCTAATCGATTGTTGCAGATAGCCAGGTGTGCCGATTTTTCTGGGGAGCCCTGACATCAGAGCGTGAATTACCTACCCCGTTTTCGCTTCCAGGCAGAACCAAGCCATACCACGCGCCTCCTCGTCAAGCGGCCTGACCAGTACAGGCTGCAATTTGGCATCGTTTGGTATCTCTTGGAAGCGAGGGTGGTCAAAAGCGAGGTAGGTTTGTTTTCCCCCTATGACAGTTCTTCGATGTGGCAGGCTTCTCGCTTAATGATCTTGCGTCGCGCTCTTGCCTGTGCCGAAGTTCGCTTTCACCATTGTCAAGTCGGAACCCCTTGGAAGAAGTGCACTCGCATTGTTTCCTTGCGGGGCGGAACGCTTCATCGCTTACGCCGCTGGTGCCACGCCAGCGGCAACATTTGCGCTCGCACCGGCCGCGCTCATCAAGAGCTCTCTGGCCACGCCTCAGGAGGCAAACGCTGGACTGCAATGGCCGCCGCCTGTCCTAGTCAGCTGTGCCGCGCCATAGCCTCTACCATGACTGATGCTGCTGCGTCGTTGCGTGTATCTGTGCTTTGGAAAAAGTTTCAGTAGTGATCGTTTTTTCTTTGGTTTATACCTTCGGCCTTCGGCCATGCTTCGCCACTCGGGTCTGGGAGTCTCCGAGCGGCGCCTGGGCGCCTCAGATGCAATGGCAGCATCGCGCCTTGCTCCAGACACGATACGTATGTAATATATCAGGAGGGGAAAAAAACACACAGACACAATTAATCGGCGACCCCCCAGAAAATATGGGAAAATATGGGAATTGGGGGGAAGACAAAAACCAAGAAAATATGGGAAACTATGGTGGATTTTTTTTTATTTGTGTGTATTTATTTGTGTGTTCCAGTTCCCCTTCAATATAGTAAAAATCGCTTGCGTTCCCCGGGGGGCAGGGTTAAGTCTCTGGTCGCTCGTGCACAAGCAGAAGTGACGTGCCAAATCCCCGAGGGGCCGCCGTACCGACGTCAACCATCGGCGTGCTTGCTCAAGTCCCCCCCCCCCTCCCCCCCTGCCCTTTTCTTTCTTGTGTGCTCTCGGCCCCCCCGCTTCTGCTCCTCCAATCCTCGGCCTGGTTTGCTACGTGCTCTCATGATGGCCTAACCTCGAGTCAGTTGCTTCTGGGAGTCTCCGAGTGGCGCCTGGGCGCCTCAGATGCAATGACAGCATCTCGCCTTGCTGCAAAAGTGAGTGTCGAACTGGCGCGGCCCATATTGATGAGCGTCGGATCGAGGCGAACCAAGAACCAACTGAGCGTGGAGTCGACGCCTGTGCTGCCTGGTGGCCTGACGGCGCAAATTGCCTTGCAGGAGCAACTCGGGCAACAACGTATACCTCTTCAGGAGCAAGTGAGAGATATTGTCCAGGCCTTCTGCGGCACATGCATGCAACGCGCGAGGGCCAACCATGTTCACGGCGCCCAGCAAACGCGGGCAAGTGCAGAAGAAACTCCGATGATGGCCCAGCTGGCCAGTCAACCACAAACAGTCCGTCCAGTCATCGATGGTGAAACTTAGGCTGCTATCGAAGCCCTGGTGGCCCAGAGGGCCAGGGATCTGGATAAGGCGCAACAGGACCTACTTTCATGAACAAGGTATGGTACTGGGTCAACGGTTCAATAAGGTTGAAGCGGAACAGGAGAGCAACGCGCCCTGGAATCAGCATCGTGGTGAGACGCTGTATGAGCTCCAGATAACCGTCGGAGCCCTGCGAACGCAACAGGTCGCTAAAAACAATGAGCTGGACCAAGGCATCAGTCAAATGACAGAAATCGCATCCACCGCGAACGGTAAAAATGATGAACCACGGTGCCCCCCAAAAGCATCTTAACAACGCGGATATCCAAAACGCAAAAGCTGCCTTCCAAAGAAACCGCGATCCCCGCGCGCGAAATGGCACTGTTGGGCTTACAGAAACAGGTGCGAAAGACCCGAGCCATGCGAACATATACTTACCAACGCCAATAGCCAGTGCCAGAGCCAAAATTGGATGAACGCTGTGAGCCTAGATGGGGCACGACATGAGGCGGGTGCTGAATGTGTCAAGTTGGATAAATTGACCGGTGCTGCCAACCAAAGGGTGGACGATTGCCGAATGTATGCGAAAACATGTTTCCCTGCGATGTCGGTTAGATATGTACCACCGGCTACGAGGCGAGCGAAGCCAGTAGTGGGCTTGTCGCAGCCTGCGTCCATTTTGAGCTGAGGCCGAGCGCTGAGGCCAGGCCTCCAATGGCACAAACGCAGTGCGTTCTCGTACCTCTTGCGCGTGAATTTTCGGCGGGGAAACTTGCTGCCACGCAGGTGGCGCACCTGAGCGCCGCGTCGGAGCACTATGATGCCAGACGCGCTGGAGACAACAAGGGCTTAGGACGGAGTCAGCAGAGCCATGGCGGTTATGCCGCACCCAAACTTGAGAAACTTGGTAAGCACGAGCGCACCGCCCCGATGAAAAAGGCCCAGTGGGCGTGATTATTTATCCAGGACGATCAAAGTAAAGACGTACCACCACCACCCTTCGGGGATGAGCCTCGCGGCGCGGGCAGTGGATCATCGAGTCGTGGGCGGCAGCGCGCCGCGGAAGATGCAGTTCGGATGTTGCTGAACAGCACCAAGGACAAAAAGGTTGAACAAAACGGTTGAATGCCGAGACCTGCCTGCTGCGCCGTATTTCCGACCATGGAGGCAAGAAGCCTATGGGACGACGATCTCTGCGTCAGGTGGACCAGAATCAGATAAGTGCTTCACTTGGCTCTGCGTTACTGAGGACGCAGCAACAACGGATGACCCCCTTGCGGACAGTGGCGAGTTCGATATTCTTGATATCAGAACTGCCATTGCACGCAGCGGCGACGACGACGACGACGGCAGCGCCCTCCACACGCCAGCAGCAGGGTCGGCGTATTGACTGGGATGAAAAAGTAGTGGAATCATCCGTCCCTCTCTTGCGGGCGCTGGAGGAGGAGGGGGGGAAAAAGGCCAGGAGGATCGACAGCTGATGGAAGTCCTTCTGAGGGGCCACGAGCATGTCGGTGGGTATGCTAACACATTGGATGCGGAAGTCGCCACCCGCACGATATGGGTACGGTTGTGATTGCCACGCGTGCATGGTTGAACGCTGAACTTGCTCGTCCGTGCGCAGGTTTGTTTCCAAAGTGCTCGAAGAAGAGGAGGACGTCAGACGCTCTCCGTATCAACACTTTTGAGCGTGCGTTATGCGGACACGCAGTGGCGGCATGCAGGATTGAAAGTGTCTTCCCTTCAGCGCAACACTGGCGCAACGACGCCAGAAACGCATTATGCCTCCCTAAAGCATCCGAGTAGCGCACATTTTTCGGATGTGTTGCTTGTGTGTGCGTACATGTTGTTGGGTGCTTGTCAGTGGTGCGCTTGTCATCCTGGCGCTGTGTCTTTCATGTCATCGGCATCGCCGCCATCATCTGCAGCCGCATTATCGTTGTAGGGGAGGCGTAAACCTCAGACGTCCAACGTCATGATTTTTCCGTGGCGTGGGCCCGGGGACCCCTCGACCCCATCCATTGAACAGATTTTTCATCTTGGGTTGTTTTTTGACAGTCGGAGGGCCCGAAACGGGCCCCCAGTAGCCGAACATCGGGAACAACCGACCGCCTCGATGTGTTACTGACTACGGGTCTGGTAACAGCCGTTCCGCGCGCGCGCACCCGCGTGCTGCTGCGAAAGCGCGCGGCGGCTCCCAGACGCAATCACGTCGGTGTCCATGGATCAGGGCACCGGTCCGCGGCTAACCGCCGCCGTGCCGCCGTCGCCGAGAGCGGGATGGGAGGCATGATTGTGATCGAATGCGGGAAGAGGATGACGACGAGGAGGACGAGGTTGAGGAGGAGGAGCTGGAGGGAGCAGTAGAAGCAGCAGGAGTTCACCCTCCTCGATCCTGATCGTCACGGGTGCTGGGGCGATGCGGAATGCAGGGGAGGCAGGCGGGAGCGTGCGGCATCAGGACGAGGTCGAGGACTTGGCATCGCTCGGGCGTGTGCATTTTTCTCGGTGAGGACCATCGAGGAGCATCCTGGGGCATCTGTCCCCAAAAACACACACCTTCACACACACACACGCACACACACCCACACACACACACTTTACACACCCACACTCACACACTTTACACACTTTACACACACTTTACACATACGTTGCACACACTTACACACACTTACACACACTTACGCACACTTACGCACACACTTACACACACTAATTCACATTTACACTTACACACACTTGCACACACTTGCACACACCACACACACCATAGACCACACACCACACACACACAACACACAACACAACACAACACAACACAACACAACACAACACAACACAACACAACACACCACAACACAACACAACACAACACAACACAACACAACACAACACAACACAACACAACACAACACAACACAACACAACACAACACAACACACCACACCACACCACACCACACCACACCACACCACACCACACCACACCACACCACACCACACCACACCACACCACACCACACCACACCACAACAACACAACACAGCACAGCACAGCACAGCACAGCACAACACAGCACAGCACAGCACAGCACAGCACAGCACAGCACAACACAACACAACACAACACAACACAACACACACACACACATATACACGCGACATCGAACAAACATTACGGGGAATGGACGTCCGAGCGATGGCAAGGAGGAGGTGGGAGGGGAAGGAGCAGACGGCGCAGGAGGTCGAGGAGGGAGGGGCGGGGAGCATAGGGGGGGGGCAAGCCGTCGAGGAGGGGTGGGGGGGGGGCGGGCGGAACACGAGGAGGGAGGGTGAGCGAGCAGCCGGCTGCAGGAGCGAGGAGGGGTCAGGAGGGCGAGGAGGCAGGAGAGGAGGGGTCTCGAGGGCGAGGAGGAGGAGAGGAGGGGTCAGGAGGGCGAGGAGGCAGGAGAGGAGGGGTTTCGAGGGCGAGGAGGAGGGGAGGGGTCAGAAGGGCGAGGATGGAAGAGAGGAGGGGTCTCGAGCGCGAGGAGGAGGAGAGGAGGGGTCAGGAGGGCCAGGAGGGGTCGGGAGGGCGAGGAGGGAGGAGAGGAGTGGCCCCTGGGGCCCGCGCCTCCGAACGGTGCACGGGGGGGAGACCTTTTTCACACGGGGCATCCCCACCGGCCCGCACGCCCATTCAGTCAAAAGAGGCTGACATAAGGGCCGCCATGGGTTCAGGAGGGGCTGTGGTCTTCTAGCTGTTCCTTACACCTGGGTCGGGGAACCTTGCTCCTGTCCGAGGCTCGCCGTTGCCAAGAGGAGCCCCTTCATTACTTATCTGGCGTTCCTCATGCTGTCCTCGTCGTCCGCCGCCTCGGCCAGCTGGGCGGCGCGCCTCGCGGGGGTGGGAACCAATGAGAGAGCCAAGACGAAGCCAGGACGAGGATGAGATCGGGTGAGGGTAAATCGAGGACCTCCGAGATCCGGCGGCTCCGGATGATGTCTCGGGCGCCGCGGCCTTCTCAGGGAGCTGAGGAACGCTCGTACGATGGCTGCACGCGGGGCTCGGAGTTTTTTGGCGTCGACCTCATTATTGAAACAGGCCGGACTCCACATGTTTCTGCCTCAGGGCCCCAGATTCGGTGACCCTGCCTCCTGGTGCTCCTGCAGCGCAGAGAGAGAGATAGAGAGAGATGCCCTCGGCAAAAAAGGGAGGAGGAGGAGGAGGAGGAGGAGGAGGAGGAGGAGGAGGACCGACTCCGACGTTGGCTCCCATCTCCACGACGCCGGTCTCTCACTCCAGCTCGCACCCGTCCGGTTCCAGCCCCCGGGTCTCCGACTGTCGTCTCTCCGACTCCGGCTCTCATCTCCGCGATTCTGGTACCCGTTTTCTTCTCTTCGACTCCAACTCCTGTCCCTCCAATTCTGGCCGCTGTGGGTTGCGGCAACACGACAGGCATTGGCAGCTAGGCGCTCAACAGCACGACGGCGATGAGCGTCCTTATCTTCCTGACTGAGAGTCGGAGGCATGACGGGACCCTACAGCATGGGTTGCCAGAATCACGGTTTGCCAGCATGCGAGGTACTCAGTTTCAGGCGACGGCAGATATTGATTTATTCGTGCATTTATGGCGGGGCCGGCACGCGCGTGACAATTTTTGTTTGTTTGTCATTCTTCATTCGGCCCAGGCCGTCAAAATGATCGCGTTCACCTCTACTCACCATGCTGCCTCCCGCGGCCGTGGCCATCAGCGGACCCACCACATGTCTCTGTCCATCTATATCGCTGCAGCTGCGAGGCAGCTCCGACTCCAGCCCCGAACTTGTTTCCAGTTCCTGTCCCAGCTCCGACGCCATCTCCGACTTCTGCTCCTACCACGGCATCTACGATTACTCTGACTCCGACTCCGATTCCCACTTGACCACATTCCCGTTTCTTGTTTTTGATCCGACGTTATCTCTGATCCCTGCGCCAGCTCCGGCTACTGCTCCAATCCTTGTCCCGATTCCAGCTCCGACTCCAGCTCCAGTCACCCTTCAATCGTAAATTTTGGCTCCGACTCCGACCCCAGCCCCGACTGCAATGCGGGCTCCGACTTCAGTTCCGACTCCCTTCTGGCGCCTGCACCGATTCCAGCTCCAGCCAGCTCCGACTGCTGTTCCAGTTTCGTCTCCAGCCTTTGCGCCACGGCGCTATATACGACACCGGCTTCGACTTCATATCCGACACCGGCCAATAGTATAGGATTTGCCACGACAGTGTAGAACAATATTTGTGTGGTATGCAGACTGCTGTGCTATACGAATGGGCGGTCGACTCTGACAGGATTTCCCACGACAGTTCATGATGATATATTGGTGGTAAGCACTGTGCTGTGCTCTGCGGTTGGGCGCTTGGTTCCAACAACTCGGCGGGCGTCCCCCTCGCCGTCGGGCTCCACGTGAGCAGCTGCGCCAAGTGATGGCTTCGCGGGCTCGGGGCCTCCTGTACATTCCATTTGAGCGACGCAAGAAAACGGGGCCGTCTGCGCCGACAATGGCGCGTGAGCTGCTCGCGTAAGGTCGCGCGCAAGCGCACTCGTTTCCAGCGTAGCGTGCCGCGCTGGCGGACCGCGTAAGCCACCGCGGAAGGTCGCTACGTCGTCTCGCGTAAGACCCGTTTTTGATCGCCGCCCCTTTGGTTCCCCCCCCCCTTCTCTCTTGCTTCCCTCCCCTTCCTGTTGCATGCAGCCTGGCGGAACTGGTGGCCCTGGGCCAACCGAGTGCGCTGGCCGGACTTCCGCACGGCCGGCGGCGGCCAGCGCCACTGCGTGGGGCTTTGGCCTTCCGGCCGCCCGTGGGTCTGTCCGCGCGTGGCGCGCTGCCGCCACACGGGGCTGGCCCGGTTCACCGTGCCCTGTGCTCTTGTTCTGGTTCTCCTCCTCTGTCTGTTTCTTTTGCTCCATGTGATCTGCGTGCGGGGTCTCGGTGTGCGAGACGCTAGTCATGGGCCTCCGCACCGACGAGCTCCCGCCCCTCGTTACCGCTTCTTTGTGCAGCCAGTCTCGTCCCGTCCGTTCTACCTCTGCTGCTCTGCTCGTTCTGCTTCTTTGTCCTCGTTTTGTTGCCGCTCCCCGCTCTGTCTCCCTTGCACCTGCCTTTCTGGCTCTGAGTCTCTCCGCTTGCTCCCGCTTGCCGTTCGCTGTCTTCCTCGCTGCGTCTTATTCTTCCAGTGGCGTCTGCGCTGTTGGCTGCGTCCCGTGTGACGTTCCTGGCTTGTCCAGCGGTCTTCAGTCACACGTCGTGGAGTCAGTTGTGCGTCGGTTTTTGTCGTTGAGAATAGTGATGGAGAAGGAGAAGGAGAAGGAGAAGGATGAGGAGGGGCAGGGGGAGGAGGAGGAGGAGGATGAGGAGGAGGAGAAATTGGAGGACGAGGTGAAGGAGGAGGAGGAGGAGGAGGAGGAGGAGGAGGACCAGAGCAAGCCTAGGATGCACCAGCGATGCTGTCCATCTCAAGCCCCCTCCCTCCTCACAAGTCTCTTTGCACCTTTCTTTTCACGCCTGCCCCCCAGAACGCCACATAACACCCTGGAACACTTTTCAAAAACCGCGGAAGCTCGTTAGTGCTTCCCAAGCTTTGCTTCTCCCTCCCTCCTTCCTCTTCTCCCTCCTCCCTCCTCCCTCAGCCCTCCTCCTTCTCCTCCTCCTCCTCCTCCTCCTCCTCCTCCTCCTCGTTAGCTGTCCGCTCGCTATGTAACGACGTGTTGGTCCCGAAGGTGCTGCCGGTTCCAAGGCAAGCATAACGCTTCTGCGACGAGGCGCACCAGAACCTCGGCAGAAACAAAACTCCAGACCCACGAACCCAAGTACCAGAAGCCCACCTCGACAGAGAAACCCCTTCCTCTTCCTCTTCCTCCTCCTCTTCATGCCCCTCAGGGTCTTAGCTGATGCGTGCTGCCCCATGCGCAAACATCTCGACCACATCAGTCGTGGCCTGTTGCCCAAGTGCTTCACTCGAGCTTTTGTCACTGCCGGATGGCGGCAGTCCTGGGAATCCTCCTCTTCGTGCCCCCAATCCGCAGCTTGCTGTCGCTGTTCCTGGCCCTCCCCTCCTGATGAGCCTGTTTTCCACCACCACCACCATAAGTTGGAGGGGGGAAGGAGGAGGAAGAGGGCGAGGAGGGCGAGGAACAGGAGGAGGAGGAGGAGGAGGAGGAGGAGGGCGAGGAGGGCGAGGAACAGAAGGAGGAGAGGAGGAGGAGGAGGAGGGGAGGAGGAGGAGGAGGAGGAGGAGGAGGAGGAGGAGGACCCCCCCCCTCCAACTTATGGTGGTGGTGGTGGTGGAGAACGCGCCCCTCCCCTCCTCTGCGTGGCGCCTTCCTGCGCTGGCGCCCCCCGTGGCGCTCGGTGGCGCGCGGGGCAGCTCGGGCCTTCCACGGCCGATCGCGGCACTGCAGCACCGGACCTCTTGCCTGGTGTGTGGACACGCCGGTCGTTGAAAGTAGGTATTTTTGGATTTCACCTCCTCCGCCTCCTCCTCCTCCTCCTCCTCCTCCTCCTCCTCTCTCCTCCTCTCCTCCTCCTCCTCCTCTCTCCTCCTCCCCTCCTCCTCATTATTCTCCTCCTCCGCCTCCTCCACTTCCTCCTCCTCCTCCTCCTCCTCCTCCTCCTCCTCCTCCTCCTCCCAGATCCCAATCTACTTCAAGCGCCTTCCTACTTCAAGAGTCGACATGCTTTTGCTGTGCTTTGTCATTCTCTGGGAGGGCCTGCAGGACCCAATCCGCTTTGTCCGCCTTCCTGCTTCACGCTTCTGCCTGCTGCTTCCGACCGACGTGTGCCCCTGCGCCGTGGAACCGGCAAGGCTTCGGGCTGCTGCGCACGGACTGCCGCCCAGGTGGCCCCGGCTGGCCTCAATAGGGCCCCCCAGGTGGCCCCAGCCGGCCTCCACAGGGCCCCCGAGCATCCTGTGGCGGTCTCAGCACCTTGGCGCCGCCTCCGTCGGCGCCCCTCGGTCGCTCTGCGCCCCGGGGTTGGGGTGTTGAGACCGCTGCCGCCTCGGAGAGCCTGTTGGGGCAAGCTGTGGCTACCTGGGGAGCCTGCTGAGGCCAACCGGCACTACCTGGGGGGCTGTCTGTGCGCTCTCCGAAGCCTTACCATGCAGAACGTAAATCGAACGCTGGGCGAGGGCTGCTGAAGCCGTGGCTGATAAGACGGTCCTCCCGGAAGTGAAAAATAACTTCCTGGAATGAGGCGCGGCACGCGACACAGTCAACGGGTTTCTTCCCGGAAGGACGAAGACAACTTCCCGGAGGCCGATTTTAGCAGCTACGGATTTGGCAGCCCTTGCCCGGCTTCCGACTCGAGCATGCCCCCTCTATCCTCCTCCCTCTTCCCTTCCCCCTCCCTCCTCCTCCTCTATCCTCCCTCCTCCCTTCCCTCTATCCTCTTCCCGCTCCATCCTCCCTCTACCCTCCCTCCTCCCCTGCCCCCCTCCCTGTGCCCCCGCCAGGTTTCTACCTGGCGACCGGCTGCCACGACGGGGTCGTCCGCACCTTCGACCTGAGGACGCGCCGCTGCTGCCGGAGCCTGCAGGCCCCCCCCCTGCTGCGGAGGTGCGGAAGGGGGGAGGCAGGGAGGGGGGGCGGGAGGGGAGGCGAGCGGGAGGAGGAGAGGAGGAGGAGGAGGAGGAGGAGGAGGAGGAGGAGGGGAGGAGGAGGAGGAGGAGGAGGAGGAGGAGGAGGAGGAGGAGGAGGAGAAGGAGGAGGAGGAGGAGGAGGAGTTGGAGCACCCAGTCAAGCAAGAAGAGGAGGAGGGTCTGTCGGAGGAGGAGGGGGATGGGGATGAGGAGGGGAGGCAGGAGGGAAGGCAGGAGGGAAGGCAAGCGGGAGGAGGGAGGAGGCAGGGGAGGGGGGGAGGGGAGGTTAGGAGGGGGAGGGAAAGGGAAGGCAGGAGGGAAGGCAAGCGGGAGGAGGGAGGAGGCAGGGGAGGGGGAGTGGAGGTAGGAGGGGGAGGGAAAGGGGAGGCAGGAGGGAAGGCAAGCGGAGGAGGAGGAGGAGGAGGAGGAGGAGGAGGAGGAGGAGGAGGAGGAGGAGGAGGAGGAGGAGGAGGAGGAGGAGTTGGAGCACCCAGTCTTATGTTGCTCCCATTGTACTCCAGGACCACATCCCAGAAATAGTTTCGAGCACCCGGAACAGTGTCGAAGCAGTGTCGAAAGAGTGCCTAAAGAGTGTCGAAACAGTGTCGGGCGAGTGTCTCCCAGGGCCCGACACGTGACAACCCTCGAGTTTGGGTATTTTCGTTGGTGCTCGAAATTCTTTCTGGTGGTCAAGGCCAAAGTAGGTTGGAACATAATGAACCCAGTCAGACAAAAAGAGGAGGAGAGTCTGTCGGAGGAGGACGGGGATGAGGATGAGGATGCTGATGGGAAGCAAGAGAATGAGGGGGAGGGGGAGGGGGAGGAGGAGGGGGAGGGGGAGAAGGAGAAGAAGTAGGAGCATGATGATGAGGAGGAGGAAGAGGAGAAGAAGGAGGAGGAGGAGCAGGAGGAGGAGGAGAAGGAGGAGGAGGAGCAGCAGCAGCAAGGTAAGGAGGATTGGGCTGGAGGAGGAGCTGGCGGATGAGCCAGACGGCTAGGCTGGTTGCGGTGACCCAGCCGCGTTGCTGCCGGGTGTCGTGGTCGAGCCGCTCGCCCTGGTCATCGTGCGCTCTCGGCGGAGCACAGGGGTTGGCGACACAGACCGTGCCTCGCCGCTCGAGGATGATGAAGTTGGAGAGGAGGAGGATGAGGAGGGGGAGGAGGAGGAGGAGGCGTGGTACCAATGCCACCAGTATGCATATTGCAGGATGAGGGCGAACTGCTTGAGTTCGCCACAGCGCGGGTTTGCCGAAGTTTTTTTCATTGGCCCAACGTGAATTTTGACGGTCCAGTTTTCGTGGGACCTTTGCAGCAGCAGCTCGCAGTGTCAGAGTTCAGGCCGGGTCTCGTCATTTTCCTGGCGGCCCCGTCAGGCCAACCCGAGCCCCCAGAGCTCAAGTCTTACGTCCCTCCGACACGACGAGGAGGAGGAGGAGGAGGAGGAGGAGGAGGAGGAGGAGGAGGAGGAGGAGAACGACGATGAGGACGACGAGGAAGAGGCGGAGGAGGAGGAGGAGGAGGAGGAGGAGGACGAGGCCGCGGCGCAGCTGGTCGCACAGCCCGCCAGCCAAACACGTGGCGGCCTGCGTGCGGCGGGCGGTGCGAGCTGCTGGCAACTTCGTGAGTCAGTGCGTCGACCCAGTGTCTACGTCGTCGTCATCGCCGTCGTCTTCGTCGTCGACGTTATCACCAACATCAGCAGTATCATCATCATCAGCAGCATCAGCAGCATCATCATCAACGTCATCATCGTCCTTATCATCATCTTCCTCATCAGCTCATCGTTGCCAGCCGCGAGGAGAGGCTCATCCTCCGAACAGATGGGCCTAAGGGATCAACATGGGAAGGGGTCCGCGTCAAAGCAATCCCATCCTCGCGGCCCTTTACGGCTAAACGATTTCGAAACCATACATCGGAATTCAAACCGTCGCAATGAATGTACCGACGGCGGCGCCAACCTTCTAACAGGGGCTTCTTGTCGGAAACGTATTCGAAGCGACTTTGTATTTTGTCAAAAGCTAGCCCAAATGCCAGCATCTCGGCCCTCGGCACCGTGTGGCGTCTGCCCGTCAAAGTGGAAGCCCAGCCTTTAAAGCGAGACCACGCACTACCATCCCAGGCCACCAACAGTGCGGCAGCGCCGACACGTCGGCGACGGGGATCGGAGCGAAAAGCTCTCCAGAGCCATCTCCAAAGACCCTCAGGAGCCCAGAGGGAGCCCTGGCCGCGGCAACGGTATCAACATCAAGACTCGACGACGACGACCCCACCTCCCACGACACGCCCTTCCTCTCTGGCAAGGCTGGAGTAGAAGGAGGAGGGCGAGGAGGAGGAGGTGGAGGAGGTGGAGGGGGACAAGAAGGAGGGGGACAAGGTGGAGGAGGAGGAGGAGGGCAAGGAGGAGGAGGAGGAGGAGGGCAAGGAGGAGGAGGAGGAGGAGGAGAAGGATGTGGAGGACGAGGAGGAGACAGAGGATGAGGAGGAGGGCTGAGGAGGTGGAGGAGGAGGAGGAGGAGGGCATCGAAGACCAAGGTTTTTGGATGTTCTCATCCCCTGGGGCCTCCGGAGGCCTCCTGGACCTCCGGGGGCTCCTGGCATTCGACCTTCGTCCGGCCCAGGCGGGGCACGGAGGGAGGGGTGCCCGCGCAGTTTTCGGGTCCCGCCGCGCCGCTTCAGCTTCACCTGGGCGATTGCCGAAACTTCGATGCTCCTGCTGACGTTTGTCAATTCGCCCCCTTGGAGCCAGCTGGGGGGCTGAGGTGGCCCAGCAATGGCTTCGTCCACCAGAGGAGGGGGGGGGAAGGGCCCCCCTTGTCGCCTCGGTTGGACGCGGCTCGAGAAGCGGGTTAGCTTCGACCCCAGGAGAGGTCCAGGGACAGATTTTGAGAGGATTTGCCGTCGTTCCCCTCTTGACCGATCCTCTCGGGGCCCGTGCAGCGCAGACCCAGGCCGCTTCCAAGGTAGCCCAGTGTGGACTTACCCCTCCAGCCCCACCGATAGCACGCAGCGCGTGTCGGCTCGCTGGCATCGAACGTTTACGGTGAACACGCGGAGATGAGGGCTGGTTTTGACTCAGGAGGTGCTCTGCCTTTCGACCCGTACAGTATCTTAAATCTGGGCTGGGGGACATCTCCGTGGCCCCGGCCCTCCGTGGCCCGGCGCGCACCTTCGTTCCGCATTCACCGTTCCTCTTCGGTAGCACGATGGCTTTGTTCCCGCGCGCCCCTCCAATCCCGGCGATGCTGACCTTCACTGCGCAGGTGGGCGGATTCAAGTACGACGAGGCCGTGCACTGTGTTCACCTAGGACGTATGCCTGCCTTTCGTCCCTTCAGTCTCGGGACGCATGCTGATGACCATCACACTTGTGAGGTGGGGAAGGACGCAAACAAGTACGAAGCGGAGAAGGTATACGCAGGGGACGAGGAGAAGGACGACGAGGAGGTGCAGGAGCGGGATGAGGAGGAGGATGAGCAGGAGCGGGATGATGATGAGGAGGAGGAGCGGGATGAGGAGGAGGATGCTGATGATGCTTATGATGATGCTGCTGATGATGATGACGATGATGACGATTATTGGGTTGGTGAGAATGGTAATGGCGACGATGTGACTTATGCTGATGCTGCTGAGGATGAGGGTTATGTTGTCGATACTTACTCATATGATGCTGATCCAGGTGATAATGACGCTCTTAATGATGTTGCTGCCGATGATGATGATGACGATGATGGCAACGTGGATGATGCTGCTGATTATGCTGATTATGATGGTTCTGCTGCTGCTGCTGATGATGATGATGATGATGATGATGATGCTGATGCTGACGCTGATGAGTATGATGATGGTGACGATCTAAATGATAAGTATGATGACGCTACGGGTGATGATGATGCTGCTGATGATCATGATGATGACGATGGTCATGGGTTGTTGATGCTGCTGAATTGTTTGTTGTTGATGATGGTCAAGAGCTGATGATGATCATGACGCGGTCGATGCTGATGCTGATGAGGTTTATGACAACGATGTGACTGATGATGATGCTGATGATGACGTTGTTAATGATGATGATACTTATGATGCTGATGATGCTGATGATACTGCTGGTGATGATGATGCTGTTGCTGATGATGATGACGTTGGTGATGCTGACGATGATGATGATGATGATGATGATGATGATGATGATGATGATGATGATGATGATGATGATGATGATGGTGCTGAAGATGCTGGTACTTGATGTTGATGACGGTGTCGATGATGCGGTTGCTGCTGCTCATGATGCTTTTGAGTATGATGCTGCTGATTACGATAATGATGGTGACAATTATGGTGATGATGTTGGTGATGAGGATGACGATGTTAATGAGGGCGATGCTGATGTTGATGATGATGCTGATGATGATGATGATGATGATGATGATGATAATGATCATGATCATGGTCATGATGCTAGTAATGATGATGGTGCTGATGCTGATGATGATGATGCTGCTGTTGATGATGATGATGCTGATGATGATGATGATGATGATGGTGGTGGTGGTGGTGGTGTTGCTGATGATGATCATGACTGTGACGATGGTGATGAGTTGTTGATGTTGCTGATGCGGTTGGTGCTGATGAAGATGATGATCATGATATTATGATGATGATGATGCTGAGGAGGAGGATGGGGAGGAGGAGGAGGACGAGGAGGAGGAGGAGGAGAGTACATAGCCAGTTTAGTTCATGTGCGTAAGCGCGTTTCTTTCGGAGTCTCGCAGGGATTTTCTCCACCTGTCGCTCGCGCCCGAAGTACACACCCGTCAGCGATGCCCTTTTGGGACGACTCGGGGGCCTGGCGGCCGTTGTCAGACCCTCATGGGGCGTCAGGGGTGCCTCTCGGGGGCCTCTTGTGGTCTGTTGGGGGGGCCGCTTGTAGACGTCTTGGAGGCCTCCTGGGGACTTTTTGGGGACCTCTTGGTGGGTCCGCGGAGTAGCGGTATCAGTATCTCTTTGCACCCGCCCACCATATGAAGGAATGGGCACGCGCGCGCGTGGATTCCCCTCCTGGCGGATCGTGTCGCCCAGTTCATGCTCGCATCTTCTTGTTCTCGCGATCCGTGCGTCTGTCGCGAAGCCAGTGACTCAGTGTAAGTTGCGAAGAACATGGGCGGATTGGAACTAGCGCAATCTGCAAGAATTGGCCAGACGGGTAGGATGTCCGCCGAGACGCTGGCGCGCCCAGTTTGCCCTTCCGCATTCCAATTCCCTCCGCTGTCCTTTCCCCCCTTCGAATGCTCTCTTTTCCCTCGCTCTCTTTCCCTCTGACTCGAGCCGTTTTGGCTGGAGGGGTGTGACGGTCGCGTGCGGGGTGCGGCGGGGCAGGCGATGGCGAAGTTCCAGGCCGCTGCCGCTCCCAAATGCCCTGCGTGTGGCAAGAGCGTTTACGCCGCGGAGGAGGTCAAGGGTATGGGCCACTCCTGGCACGCCATGTGCTTCTGCTGCAAGGCTTGCGGCAAGTCGCTCCGCGGCGGCCAGTTCCGGGAGCACGACGGGTGGCCCTACTGCGAGGCGGACCACGCCAGACTCTTCGGGCCGAAGGGCATCGGGTTCGGCGGCACCATGGGCGACACGGGCATCACCCGAAGAAGAGAGGGGCGCACAAGCACGAACTTCGGAGGTCCACGCGGGCTCCCTGGATCGGCGCTGGGCCTTCCCCCCCCGGCCCGCGGAGCGCGCAGGGTGGTCGGCGCTGGGAGCGCCGCCCGGGGGCGCCCCGGCGTCGATGCAGAGGACCTGCGCGGACCCCCGACGGGTTCTCTTTGTGCCGTCTGCTGGTTCGGAGGTTGATAGAGCCCCCCCCTCAGGGCTCATTTCGATTGCCCCGATTCGATTCGATTCGATTTCGATGGATTCCGATTCCGATTCGATTCGACTTGGGATTCCGATTTGGGTTCCGATTTCTCACTGGATGCGTACGAGCCTGCCGATCTCAAACGATTCGATTCCTTCCGACTTGGCTGCCGATTTCCGCCGATCCGACTAATTTCGATCGCCGATTCGACTTATCGATTCGATTCTGGGCTCTCCTGCCCCCTCGCCTTGCCACGTCGATGAGCGGATTGAACTCTTCTCGGCTGTCGAGAGAGCGCTGCGGTCGCAGCTCCTGCGGGCCTGCACCCGCGCCGTTTTCGCCAGAGGGTGTTCTGCGAAACGGGGTTCTATCCCCCCGATCTCTCTTCTGACATCCCAGAGGTGGAACAGAGACCACAGCCACCGAGAACCCACCGGGGGGACCCACACCCTGTGCGGTGGCACGCCCGATGAATTCTCGATGTCGGTGGTTCCCCAGATATTCGACGATCTGTTTTTTCAATGCGTGGCCCCGCCGGTACTGACCCATTCCTCACGGCCAGTTTTTCGTCCTGGATCCGTTTGATGGTTCGCGGGCCCGGTAGGGGCCACTACTAGGTTCCCACGCCGCTTAGCAAGTGGTTAGCGGATTTCTCAGAGGATATTAGAGGGCATGAGTGCATAGTAAGTATGTTTAAGGAGGTTCTAAGTGGGCTGTAAGTTCTGTAAGTGGATGCAGCCCTTAGTAAGTGGTAGGGGGCTCGCCATATCGGAGTGGCTACTGAGTCGGCTAACCTTTATAAATGTACGTCGGCAGTTAGTGAGTGGCTAGTAAGTGGTTACCAGGTGGTTGGCTGGCTAGTAGATGCATCGTGGACCGAATAGCCCTTTACTAATTAGGTGATGGCTAACTTAGCTGAGTCGTTGATACCATGTTTAATGCGTTGTTGTAACAAAGGGGGTTTCTCAAGTAGTTAGCAGTGGTTAGTCAGGGGTTGGTAAGTGGTCAGTGGGTGGTTAACACGTGGTCTGCGAGCCATCTAACTCTTGTTCGTAAGCCCGCACACCCTATAAGAAAGTGCTGTCTTCTGGGTTCCATCATCGCACTGGAGAGGATCTCGCATACTTTGAGTTGGCGCTGGTGTATCAGCAGAGGTCACGGCTGAGCTCGCCGATTCTCGGGCCGACCAGCTCACCGACCCCCGCACCGACCAGCTCACAGACTCCCGCGCCGACCAGCTCGCCGACCCATGGGCCGACGACGGCGACAGTTTCGACAACTCCACTTTCTGTCACGTCAAGTCCGACGGCGACTTCAACGCCAGGTTAGGCGCAAGCTCCGACCGCCGTTTCGCGAGCAGCCCGACCACGACGGCGAGCACGTAAGGGAAGATAATGACGCTGACCAGCATTGTCACGAGCAGCACCAGCACAACCAGCACGACCAGCACGACCACGACCGCGAGGGCGAGCACAACCAAGAATGTGGTTCTCTCCGTCGCCGCCACAATTTCAGCTGCCACGAGTACTTCATCCACCCCCACCTGCGGCTGCCCACCTGCCCACTTCTCTCCCCGTATCGACTCCCCGCACAGGCTCCGGCACCGACGTCTGCAGCAGCAGCAGCAGCAACGATTCGCCGAGCGCGTTCCACTACTCGCAAAGTGCCTACTCGCAAACGCCCGAAAAACAAATGCCCGCTTCGATGTACTGTATCGTATATCCCCCGCGGCGGATCCAGGCCATCTGCGAGCAGCCACTTTGCGAGCAGTGGAACGCGCTCGTCCAGCGATGCGAACACCGACTCGGGCACCGACGCCAGCAACCCCGACGCTGGCGCCGACCCCAGCATTGGCTCCAGCATGGACTCCATCAGCATCGGCACCAGCCTTGACCTTGGCATCGCTCGGACGTGACCATTTTTCCCTCGGCGAGGACCATCGAGGAGCATCCTTGACCATTTGGCGAAAAAAACACGCGCGAAACCGGAAAAAGCACAGGAAATGGACATCCGAGCGATGGCCAGTGACCCCAAATGCCATTGCGGGCCCCACCGCGACTGCACTGATCCTTTCTTCCCACCTTGCCCGGGCCGCGCCCTCGACCACGGCCATGTTCGGTGCGCGGCCCCGAGAGCGAGACTTGGCGCAGGCGGGCCATCAGACGTGCGGGCGCGCGCGTGCCCGTCAGCAGCCGCCCCTCGGCCTCCTTGCTCGTCGGGGGCGGGCATCACAGAACGTACGTCCTCGACGCGCTCCTCGAGTTCTTGCTCTACCAATGAATTGCGCCGCCTCGGTTCTCTTTAACATGTGCGCTGCCTTGCCTGGCTCCGCCATAGCTGATCGTTACTGATCTTGTATAGCTGGCGCGCTGATTGGGGTCGTGCGTGTCCCTGTCCTCCTTTTCCTTCTCTGTTTAATTTTCTGTTGTGTAGGATTGATTGATTTGGTCGTTTGGGTTATTCAG